TCATGGGCAGAGGAGTATTTGAGGTTAACAGAATTGGAGAACCACTGAATGTTTTTGATGGAATACAAGCTCATTTGTCAACTTGTGCATCACCCAGAGTTCTTGAAGCTGTGAACAAATTTGCCAATAAAGTCCTCCTAAATGAAGTACCTCGGTTGACTATGTGGCCAGTACAGTTTCAGGACAATGGTGTCAAAGAAGATAATGTAGCACTTTTCTTTTTTGCTAAAGATCTTGCGAGGTTGCATTTTGAACTTATCAATTCTACTGATTAGCTCAAATAATCGTACATGTTCTTTGATCTGATTTATTTTGTCTCCCAGCTATGAGAAGAGCTACAAAGTATTGTTGGACAATATGATGAAAAATGATCTTGCGCTTAAAGGAAGTTTTGATGGTTTTGAACTCATGATATTCCCGTCAAATCAGCTTCCCGAGAAATCCCAGCGTAAGGATTAGTTTAGTATTTTCCTTATGGCTAGCTATTGTTCGTTCATAATGTATCAAATATCTATATGTTGAAAATAACTAGCATCAAGAGTTGTTACTGATGTAATGACTGAATGATTGTAGTTTGGTTAGTCCGTTCTTGTTTATGTGTCAATGTGAGGGATCACTTATTCGTCTAATAATCCCTTCTGTTCAAAATGTGTAAATCTTTGTAGGAAATTTCATCTATTATGTATTTGAGCCAATGCCATCTTTGTAAGCTTTGATCCTGATTTTCTTTGCTACAAGTGTTTTATTATCAGCAGCAGAAAGGAAAGCTTATTTCCTTCACACTTTTCTGTCATGTGCTTTATGACATCTGATGGATGTGGTCTACATCTCTTAGAACATGAACTCAAAGAAGGATATCATCATTCCACTTCTATTTTGCCCCTATAACAGTCTGCTTTGAAAGTTTCCACCCACTGTTCTCGCTTTTTCTAAGCATTTTTTTTTTTTTTGGGGGGGGGGGGGTTGTGTGGGGGTGGTTTTGGGGGAATGGGGGATTTTTTTTTTAATAGTATTCTTCTCTTTCTTATTTATCCATGTAACAATTTACTTGGAAGCTGTCCCAAAAAAATATGATTGCATTGTCTACTGCTTGTAGGTTGGAATGCACTGTTCTTTCTGTGGGGGGTGTTCAGAGGTAAGAGGACTGATTGCTCTCATAAGCCAACTTTTGTTTCTCAAGGTATCCTCACTTCTATCATGTTCTTGCCCCTGAACTCATGCTCACTTTGGCCTATAAGAAAATGGTTTATTTGCAGGTAGCAGCAAGTCATTAGCATCTGAGGAGGCAGTTATGGAACTGCCTTGTTTATCATCATCTCAAGCATTGAAACAAGGTTCTGATGGCAAAGTGTCTTCGGAAGTCACAAACAATGATCCTGTACTTAGTGCGGAGCGGAAGGATAATAAATTGGATTCCAATTTCTTTTCTGTTGTACAAAGTAGCAATGCAAAATCATGTGGAGAAGCAGCACAAACCAGCACATTGTCCGACGAAATGAAACATACCAGTACCTCCCTGGTATTATCAATTTGTTTTAGATAACCATATTCTTTTTCGAGCAAAACATTTGTTCTTTTTCTTCTTGATATGATGATTGTTTCTTTTTTTCCTTGTTCTTCCTCTCATAACATGCTTGTGCATCTGTGTGCACTCACAATCATAGGGCCTGAGTATGCAAGGATGTGGTATTCTTAGCTAGAGCTTATGTTGGAAATTTTCTGTTTCCATCTTAGCCACATCACTTCAGTATATTAACTGTGCGGATATCCAAAGCAACCGAATTATATATTCAAAAGGAGAATATTGTGAAAGGAATGGGCCCCTCAGACTTAATCTATACTATTTCTGCAGAGGAGGCAACAGCTTGATTTAATGCAAACTGGCTGGACTTGCTGGAAAATTTTTTTTTTTTTGAGGATAATTCTAAAGATTTATCTCCAAATGTTATGTTTTGTTTCTCACCTTTTCTAGATGCCCTGCCATAACATTAAGTCACCTGATGTGGCAGGGGTAAGGTTTTCTTAGGTGGAGGTCTGGTTTGACTTAACAGAGAGATTAAACTTTGAACTGAAAAAATTACTACATTGATCATGTATTGTATATCAGTCGGTACTTCTTCTTTTGGTGAAAGTGTTAGTCTTGATTGGGGGATACATTCATTGTTGTTTCAGCACAGCATATCTTCGGACACTCTCTTTCCCTTATTTTTACTTTTTATTTCTGCTTTTTTATTGTTTCCCTGATCCTTTTTCTGTTGTTAATTTTTCATTTTTCTTGAATTAATTTGTTGGCCTCATTGAAGTTTGTTTACTTTTGATGTTTCACTGTAATTTTGGGGAGAACTAGAGAGGAGGATGGATAGTTTGACAAATTTTATTGGAAAATAAATGTGACAAAGACAAGTCTGCTGCTTGTTAGTTACTATTGTCAAGACATTGGATAAGATGACTTGCATTCCGCACTGGGTCTTGTCTAAGTAATATGTTAGTAGGTTTTGTAAGACTAGCATTTTCCTTGTTTGTTCTGGTAATGTTTAATGTCCAACATTTATTGTTTTGTTCCTTGTATAATGTTCAATGTTGCCCTTCAGGAAGAGGGTGTTGAGTCTGACCAGATGATAGAGCAAGAACTCCAAACGTCCGCTGAATCTACTCAAAGAGTTAGTGGTTTCTGTAGAAGTCAGGAGACTCCTTTGGACCAGAATTCTCATCTTAATCAACTGCATGCTTCGCATTATTTTGGTGAATCTCTCGCTTGTGCAGGTGGGATAGGTTCAGTGGAAAATATAGGCACCGGGGACATATCGGAGAATATGGGCAGTACTCGACATCAACCTCGCCCGGAAGATGGTTCGCTCAACAAGGTTTCCTCCTCTGGTATTCAAAATGAAATTGTGAAGGACAACTATGGGAATTGTCTACTTGTGGATTCTGGGCAGAGGATGCCACAGGCTGCTTATGCGAGCAGAAGTCAGGTGCAATCAGGGGTTGCTGTTGACAATATTTCCATTGAAGAAGTAAGAACAAGCAAAAAACAGAAGACTCATGTAGAGAGTAGTTCTTCGAGTGAAGGCTTAGTTGCACAGATTCGTGGTGGGCATTCTGGCTTGCCTGTTCAAGCTACTGGGAGTGACGAAGCTTTTGATGGATGTGATCTACAGAAAATCAAAGGGAACGCTGAGAGATACTTCTTCCCTGTTGATCCTGAACCAGGGAAGGATGTTGGGTTGGTTGGGAAGTTGATGCAATGGAAGATGAGTCGTTCAGAGGAGGATCGGCTTCAAGACAGAGCTCCAAATCTTGAACTTGCTTTGGGGGCTGAGAGTAAGCCTATGACACAGGGTACTCCAATGTTCTTGGTTGGGAAAGGAGGCAAAAAGATCAATCAGGACCATTGTTCGAGTGTGGCAGCTGCCAAAGGAGATGAGGAGGATATATCGGCCTCACTCTCCCTTTCTCTGTCATTTCCGTTCCCAGACAAGGAACAAAACATGAAGTCCTTGTCAAATAGCGAACAGCTCATGCCTGAAAGGCGACGCGTTAATACTTCGCTGCTGCTCTATGGGGGCTTAAGGGAGAAATAGAGAGTAGATGCTCCGCGTGCCATGCCCGTTAATCTGCTGCAGGGAGATGTCGGTGGGTGTATCGAGCCATGGGTTCTGCTGTAGAATCGCATCGCATCTGTTGATAAGACGTGCAATATGGAGCTATAGTTTTGTTAGTACTTTCCTTTTCCTTCTATAATATTATAGTTAGATGTTGCAAGAGTATAACCCAGCCGGAGCCCAGCTCTTTGTATATAAGGACGACGAAAAACAGGAGCGGTAGGATTTCCAACAAACATGTGGTGTTGAATGCGCCGCGCCCTCCAGAACAAAATAAATAAAATGATAATACCAAATTATACAGAGGGAATGAAGAAAGAGATACTTGGAACAGTAGTTTTACTTTGCTGTAGGTCTCCCTTTCAGAGGGGGTGTCGTGCCCTAATTTTGGGACATTCCTCGTCTTCTCTCTTCTTGCTAATGCTGCTTTTCTTTTTTACTAGGAGGCATAAACCGTGCTACGCACGGTGGAAAAAAGGATGGAGATGCCCAATTTAATAAAATAATTTGTACTAATTCAAAATGGATAATTAATGAAATTTGTTTTTCTTGATGGAATTAGTTACAAATAAACCAAAAAAAATATTAAACCAAAATTAGAGTAAACTTTCATTTAAGTATGTAATCATATAAAAAATAGTAAGTGTCATTCTCATTAAAGAATCAAAATATTATAAGACTCCGTCTAAGTTGTCATCTGCCCTTGCTATTTCAAGGTTAGGTTGCATTATAATTTAATTACGAGTTCAATTAATTTCCTAATAATGTAGCTACTTAAAACTTATAAGCATCATTAGGGGTTATATTTTACTATCTTTCCATGCTCTCAGGTCATTCTCAAAATTAGAAAAAAAAAAAAAGGAAAAGTGAAGGAGGAGAGTTAATAGAGCGGTAAGCAGGAAAATGCAAAATAGTAAGGGCCAAAGTGAGTAAGAAAATAAATGAATTTGACTTTATATTATTGATAGAAACAAAATACTTCATCCCATTTGACCTTAAACAAAGGTATAACAACCGCATAATCAATGTTTCAATTCATATCAACCTACAATAAGTTTCCTCACTTATTAACTTACAAATTGCATACAACAAATCTTAAACCTGAATAACATCCACCATACTCATGGTTAACTAAGTACTATGGCTGATATCAAAGCCCGTACATAAATAAGATAATACATTTGTGAAACACTATGGCTGGGGCCTTGCTTAAAAGAAGTAATAACAACCAGGAATTGCCGAGAATCCAGCCAAGCAAACTTATTGAAATGTTTGACAGCAATCTAAGAGCCGTCATCTTCAAGCTGCCCTTTGTAGACAAACATCGGGAGCTTTATCTCCTTGTTCTGATACAATGTATTCAACTGAGAATCCTGTAGTCGCCACCTTCAGCTAATGTAAACTGCATTCTTTAAATGATGGCAGTTTCATAGTCTCATTTTCTCCACATTGCTCTAAAACCCCAGAAGAAAAAAATCAGAAAAGGGAAACAAATATTACATTTTTATACATTTAACAGAGTTTTAAGAATTACCAAAATCAAAGGAACAAGCGATGTTGGATTTGAGGTTAGAAGGCCACCAGCAAAAGCCTAATTTAGAGCAGCGAGCTCCCATTGGAATGAAGACGAATAATACTGAAAAACGAATCTGGCAATCAGGTCAAGAAAACAGACATAAAGAAATATCACAAATGGATAGAACTAAATCATAGGGACATAAAATGTAACACAAAAATTTTCACCGAGCAAGTCAATTCAAGAGCCATTGCAGCAAAAAACTTGTAAAAAAAATGTGCAAAGAAGTCACATACGATCAAAACACAAGGACAAAGCACGAGAAGCAAAGGACAAGGGTAAATCCAAAAAAAAAAAAGGCAAAAAATATCATGCTTCTGCAGAAATCTTGCAGAGGCTATTTCAGAACTTCAAGGAACAAGCAAGGAAAGAGCAGAAAATCATTACCTGTTCCATTCCGCCAGATTGTGTGCTCATATGTCTTTCACATTCACAAGTTGAGCAAGTTCTTTCTGTTGAGTAAAAGTAAGGTAAATAAATTACACGGACAATCCGTTCCACAATCAAAATAGGCAAACTACAGCTAAATGGTCATTCATAGCCACATAACCTTTGAAATCCTTATTGAATTGTATGTGCATAAATTACAAGTAAATCATGACGAATTCATGCTTGAAATCATGAATCATCACCACAGAAAGTAAAAAAAAATAATGAAGAAAAAACCTGAGAATAAAAACGTATTTGAAGGAAAGCATGGGGAAAATATATTTCAGAGAAAATACTAATTCGGCAACTTCTAAGGTAGAGATGATGCCGGAAAGAGGCATGTCACATCAGGAAAGGCACATTTGACACGGCCACAGATGCAGCTTCTCCAACCCAGTAAGCCGTAACAATCGTAAACCTGATTCCAGTTACTCTAATAAAATCAGGAGCACGTATAACATAGCACAACAATTCCTTTCCATCAAGAGCATCAGCAACCCGGAGGTTTAGGCTAACACCCTGCAACACTGACAAAGTATAGTCCAAATGTGTAACAGAATTGAAAAGTTGATAATGCAACAGTAAGCATCCAAATTCGGTTTAAAAAAAAAATTTATGCTGGCAACAGATAAGGCAATTAGGTGCGGTGGCTTAACTACAAAAGGCAATTAATATATAATTTTTAGAGTCAAAACAAAAAAATAATACATAACCTCACACCGATCCGAAGAAGCAAAGCTCTAACTGAAGCAGTACGTATAAATAGCAACATAGCAACTCTAGGCTAAAAAGCACAGAGCAAAACAGCAACACAGCACAAAACAGCTTCAATATCTCGAGGCAGACGCCATAGGGTTTTTTTAAGAACCACAGAAGCAAAGTAAGCATAAAGAGATGCTTAACGCATAATAAGTTCAAAAAGTTACAACTTACTATGCAATAAAGGAAGGCAATATTTACCTCAGCTCTATATCTCAAGCCCTCCACAGCATTCTTAGTGAGCAATGGAAATGGAGCTATAAAATTGGAGTCCACGTTATCACTTTCACCGATGAAGGATTTAATATCTTCAAACATGTCATTCTCCTCAGGGGACACCTACTCAAGATCAAGTAAGAGGGAGATAAGAAACATATAAGAAAATGATCACAATAATTTTAAATGCATTACCATAATCACTTTAATCATATTAGGGGAGACATTATTCATGTGCTAACATATATTAGGAATTCTGATATAAAAAAGAACAGCAAAACATAGGGGCAAAACCTATAGCACAATCTAATATTTGATATAAAAAACAAAAGGCGTATTTCAATATGCAATAAACACAAAGAAAAAACTGAAAACCAAAACCATGATTGCGAAGGATGACAGAACTTCTACAACATGGATATATATGAGCCAATGATTTACAGAAGATTCTAGTCAATATTCAAGCAATCCTATTGTTCATCAGTTCTGCTTGCAAAAAAATGAAGATCAACCAAATTCAATCTGGAAGTCAGGGTATAAATTCAGTTACAAAAGTAATTGCAATTTAGTCTTTAGAAAATTACCAGAGAGACAGATGCACCAGTGTTATACGCTCTTCCAGTACGGCCAATTCGATGTATATATCCCGCAGCACTTTGAGGCATCTCAAAATTTATGACCTGCAAGAAAGAAAAGAATCAATACAAGTCGATTATCAAACTGACAACCTCATCAGCCACAGACACGTAGATGATATGCAAAGCAATTCCTGTATAGAAGAAAGCTCAAGGATAAGATAAACAACATACATGGAAAAGCTCAAAATTTTCACTCAATATAGTAACATACTAATTACTAATCGTGCAACCATCCACTTTGATTGTAATAAGAAGATTAAGTAGATATATGCTGTTTGAGTATCTCCAAATATATAATAACCTATGCATAATGATACCTGCGCTTATCGAAAAAATCACACAACAAAGTAAAGATATTGTAACAAAGAATAAGATACTGCAAGATGACGGCTAGAATGTGGTGCAAAAAATTTTTAAAAAAAATCAAGTGTCAAGAAAAAATGTATTTTAGAAAAGCAGCCGACCGTGTGAACATTACAACACCAAACTCTGCATCAAAGGCTAAGCCCCAAAACAGCACAAATGCAGCCTAAGCGTTACAGACGTGCAAGAGTCCAGAGCATCAAACAGCAGATGCGAACAAGGGAGATAGAGACACAGAAAAGCCTTTAAAAGATAATAAGAGTCCCATTTTTTTGGACGCCGAAGCCATAGAGTTTTCCAATAACACAGGCGAAACAGCAGATTAATTGACAACGTTCTAGATTAGAATCAAGGCCAATTTTAATTTGATATGAAGTGGGAATACCTGCTCCTAGGATCTTCTACCTTTTTTATTTTGAACTATATTTCTCTTTTAAATAATGATAAAACTTGGGTAATCATTTGCAACCCAAAAAAAAAATGGCGTGATTTATTAGCTCAATGGATCTACCGACTCTACAAGCAGTCATATGAAAATCTTCTCTTCCATTAAGTTCGTAAATAACAAAATTACCTCGGTTTCGACCCACAAACTCCTAACCTCTTGTAATTAATCACATTGCTAACCATAGCCATTTTTCTTTCAAACAAAATTCATCAGAATTCTGAAGTCATTTTAACACCGTTTTTTTGAAGTTAAGAATTATCTCAACCCAAATAAACAAAAAGAAAAAACTTTGGACCATTTTTTTATATTCTTTTTCATTAAGGTCACGTATTAGTAATAGAATTGTAATAATGTGAGCATAATAAAGGAACAAAATCAAAATTATAAGTCAAGAGCAGCTGAAAACAGTAAATTCAGTTCCAAAAATAATAATAGTATACATTCCATATGACCAAATTAAAATTAAAATGACAAACTTTAGCTGCAGAAAAGAACTATATAAACTAAAATCAAGTAAAAGTAATCAATCCCCATAAAATTTTTACCAAAAAAAATAAAGGAAATACAGGCTGGACTATAAAGACAACAGAATTTCATCACTTATCAGGAAGTTTCATCACCCCATCAAGAACGTCGCCTATGGTTGGCACAGAACCTGCTGCACTAACCCAACATCAATTCATTCCAGTATCATGTTTCTGTGGCTTAGGCCAGCATTGGATTTTATTAGCCGAATCTCCACTGGGAAAATTAAAAATCCAATCTCCAATGGCCACATTTTAAACCATATTTGATCTTAAATTAATCAGGAAAATAGTAGTATTGGTTGAACATGCAAACAACCTCGGCTACTCCATGGAACACTTGCTATTATCCCATCCCTAAACGTTTCTACCTTCAAAATCTCCATTTTTCGAGCAATGCTTATTCCCTCTATTCCCCAGAAACGTTATTCACCAGGCCCCCTCTGACACTTACAGCAACAAACAGTTGCAGCAAAGAACAGGAAAGGAGAAAAAGCCCAAAAAACACCCAGTACCCATGTCAGAAAAAAACCTCATTTTCACAAGGTTTTTACTCTCCCATTGAAACTCAGAGAACCCAGAAAAGAGAATATCTAGAAACAGCATATAGTGATTTAGAGATCCACTCGGGTATTTTTACAAACATGTGGTGGGTAGATTTGAAAGCTGCATTAGGGCAGAGAATTAACATGGAGGGTATTGCTTCTTCTGTTGGGATTGTGGCAAAAGATAAGCATTTGGAGAAGAAGAAGAAGAAAACTTAGAGCTATAAGTAGTAATTGTTGGAGAAGTAAAACGGTTCAAGTGGGTCGGGTTGGTTAAAAGAATCGGACATTTTCTTGGGTAGCGAGGGTGAGTTTGTCGGAAGCGTCGGAAAGGGAGGCATCGAGGGACTGAAGGTCGGCAATGATGGCGTCCTTCTCGGTGAGCTTGTGACGGAGAACAGACGCCTTTGATTCGAGGAAATTAAAATTAAAATGACCAAATTAAATTAAAATTCCATATGACCAAATTAAAATTAAAATGACAAACTTTAGCTGCAGAAAAGAACTATATAAACTAAAATCAAGTAAAAGTAATCAATCCCCACAAAATTTTTACCAAAAAAAATAAAGGAAATACAGGCTGGACTATAAAGACAACAGAATTTCATCACTTATCAGGAAGTTTCATCACCCCATCAAGAACGTCGCCTATGGTTGGCACAGAACCTGCTGCACTAACCCAACATCAATTCATTCCAGTATCATGTTTCTGTGGCTTAGGCCAGCATTGGATTTTATTAGCCGAATCTCCACTGGGAAAATTAAAAATCCAATCTCCAATGGCCACATTTTAAACCATATTTGATCTTAAATTAATCAGGAAAATAGTAGTATTGGTTGAACATGCAAACAACCTCGGCTACTCCATGGAACACTTGCTATTATCCCATCCCTAAACGTTTCTACCTTCAAAATCTCCATTTTTCGAGCAATGCTTATTCCCTCTATTCCCCAGAAACGTTATTCACCAGGCCCCCTCTGACACTTACAGCAACAAACAGTTGCAGCAAAGAACAGGAAAGGAGAAAAAGCCCAAAAAACACCCAGTACCCATGTCAGAAAAAAACCTCATTTTCACAAGGTTTTTACTCTCCCATTGAAACTCAGAGAACCCAGAAAAGAGAATATCTAGAAACAGCATATAGTGATTTAGAGATCCACTCGGGTATTTTTACAAACATGTGGTGGGTAGATTTGAAAGCTGCATTAGGGCAGAGAATTAACATGGAGGGTATTGCTTCTTCTGTTGGGATTGTGGCAAAAGATAAGCATTTGGAGAAGAAGAAGAAGAAAACTTAGAGCTATAAGTAGTAATTGTTGGAGAAGTAAAACGGTTCAAGTGGGTCGGGTTGGTTAAAAGAATCGGACCTTTTCTTGGGTAGCGAGGGTGAGTTTGTCGGAAGCGTCGGAAAGGGAGGCATCGAGGGACTGAAGGTCGGCAATGATGGCGTCCTTCTCGGTGAGCTTGTGACGGAGAACAGACGCCTTTGATTCGAGGAAAAATAGCAACTCTAGACTAAAAACTGCAGAGAGAGGCACAACGAAGCACGATCCAAACGGCGGAGGAGGAGGTGATCCAAACAGGTGGCAAGATCGAACCTTTCCCGAGAGCAAAATAGGAGCCAGTTGAAAAAGGAAATAAAGGGAAAAAAATACAGGGGAAGCTAACAGAGAAGACGGCACCTCAACGTAAAGTAAGAACAAGGAAACTTACAACGGAGGAGGAGGAGGAAAACCGAACGCCCCGCAGCTGATCTGGACGACTGAGACCCAGTGAACGCGAGGGACAGAGGTTCGATGGTCCTTGCGCGCCTGGAGAAGGGGAACAAAGAACAAAAACATCAGTTCCAGGCTAAAGATTCACGCAGGAAGCTAATGGGAAAAATTGCACCTCACCGGAAAGGAAAAATGAAGAAAAGGAAGAAGAAGAAAACTCACTACGGTGGAAGAGGAGGAGAGCCAAATGCCTGGAACACCGCAACCCAGAGAATGCGAGAGACCGAGGCTCGCTGATACCTGCGTGGTTAGAAGATAACTGGTTAGCTCAACAGGCTCTCGTACCAAGGCTCAGAACAGCCGGATAAGCAGCAGAGCAACATTGCCCAAAAGAAAGAGAGAGAGAAGACAGTGGGGAGAAGAGGCATGTGATACTGCCAGATAGAGAAAGAAGTCTATCGACGCAGCAGACAACGCAGCAGGAGGCACATGGATACCGGCAGAGGAGAAGAAGCGCGCGATGCGCGAAGAAAACAACGCTCTCAATCACATGCGCGCGGCACGTGAGAGGACGACGAAAACCTCCAGGTCACCACAGCCCTTCGCTCTTTATCTACTTATGTTGAAAAAAGAGTTCAGACTGACATGTACAGATTGTTATACCCCGAACCTCAGTTTTTTCTTTTTTTTTTTTCTTTATTGGGTGCACTTTTAGATCTGCTTCTTCGATTTATGTTTTGATCATCGTATGGATCAGTTAATTAGGTTTTTTTTGGCAAAACAAAAAAGAACTTGTTGTACATGTCAAACCGTATCCTCTTTACTAAGTCTACGATTTCTCAAAATCAATTAAAAATATGGAGTTTAAGGCAAAAATCGATATTTTTGTAAAATTAATTTCGCTTTGTGACGAAGTCTGAATTTGTAGTTCAAGGAGTGCAATATTAATTGTATTGGTTCGAAAATTTTCGATACAAATAAATCTTTGTTATTAGTGCATCAATCTATTTAATGTTTCAAAAACTAAATAAAATTGGCTACAACTTTTAGTTTATTATTTGCAACTGTTATCACATCATCTAATGATAGAAAATTGCGTAGTAATTGAAATTATATACAAGACTGCTAAATCTAAATTCTAATATATAAATAATAGTTGCATAATGATGCACAATCAAAGTGTCAAATGAATATTTATCATAGTTAGGCATATAAAAAAAAAATAAGCCTAATGTTCAATAAATAAAATTGATTCGAAAGAAGAAAAAAAAGTAGAACCATAGGCTAATATGTTCTATTTTTAAATTTCAAGCAAAGCATGAAACTCTTTCTTATGTTTATCCTTGAATTTTATATGTAGCTTGCATGACTAAAAAAGTCGAAGCCATAGGCTTTTCCAAACTCTTCCAAAGTCATGCAACTCTTTCTACTGGATCCTTCCGGTGGTAAGAATAAGGGAATCTTTCAAAAATTTCCAAATAAAATTTTAACCCCTCATTGGGCATGGTGGGGTTATTTTTATTAACAAAAAAAATATAAATGTTGCCCGCCCTGTCCATTGGACCGGGGCATGCTTTTTCATTAAAAAAAAAAAAAAACTTGGGCTCGGAAAGGCCAGGCATAAAAGTAGAAATAACCCGTGTCAAGACCACATTTTTTTGCCTTTCATTTTTGAATAATATGTTAGAGAAATCAGGTGTTTTCTTACGACTTTTCTTTACGTACTCTCTCTTTCTCTCGCTCTTTCGAAATATGAATTTGAGCGGAAGATTTAGGATATGCACAGGTCATTTGTGATATAACTGTTTGCTGTGATTTTTGTTTTTGTAATCTTCAAAGAAATTTTTTTTTTTAAAAAAAGGGAAAAATGGTCAATTTCATCCGCGAACATTTTTATTAAAGTTGATTTAGTTCCTAAATTTTAAATTTGATCAATGTAGTCCTTAAACTTGATTTTTGGATCCAATTAAATCGCTCCACCACGGTGCCAACACCAAAAATCAATCGTGCTCCTAATTTATTAGCTGACCAAGGGTATTTTGGAAACTTCAAGTGGGTTTGTGTGAATTGAGATATTTTTTAAAATTTTTAGGGTACTTTTTAAATATTTTAAATTTGCTTTACCCTCCCTCTATCGTAGTCCTTCCTACTAGCCCTCTCTTCCCATCTCCACCACCTCCTCTCCTCTGCCACTTTCCCTGATCTCCACCACCACCTTGCTTCCCACACCAAACCCACCACCCTCTCCACTCCCTTACCACTACCCCGCTGTCCCCCTTCTACTCACCCATCAACCACCATCACCACCACATTCCCCTCTCTTCGTTTCCCAACTCCATCGCCAAACCGACTTCCTATCATGGTTCACCAAATCGGCTGATTTCAAGTTGACTTGTCCGAGTCATAACTGGAATAGGAGGCATTGGTACGATACCAACACTCACATCGACGTTTGACTGGAATCCGAGTTGACTCAGATTGACTCGGCCGATATTAACCAAGTCAACTTAGATCGATAAGAAACCAGCAGAACTCACCGAGTTTAGCTGAGTCAAATCGCAAGTCAGACAACGAAATCACCCACATGATTTTCTTCTTTCTCCTACCAGTCGCCATCCTCATTCCATCACTTCTGCTAGAGCAACCCCATCATAATTAGTTGAGGTTTCTTGAGGGTTATGGTTTTAAGACTCGTAATTTTGTTGGGATTGATCCTAATCTTCAGATTGAGAGTATGAACAAGAAGAATTGGAGCAAATTTTGAAGTATGATGAATCTAGGGTATAGAAACAATATGGATTAGAGGAGTATTAAAGAGAGAGTGGGTTTTGACGAGGAGGATACTAGATGGACGGAAAAAATAGAGTTAGTGAAATCTATTGCCAATGGATGTGCAGGAAGAGATGCGAATGGACCGGAAAAGATGAGAACTATTTTTTCGGAAGGAAATTGGAAAGGAAGACGAGGATATGTTTATGTGGGGATAGTTTTAGGCTTAATTATAAAGTGCTCGCTATAATTATGAATCAATAGCAAATTTCCCTTATATTTACAAAAATCTTTTGCATTTTAATACTATAAAATCAAATAATTAGAGTAGCATCATTTTTTTAAAATACTTACATAGTATCTATGTTAATGTAGGCTTTTATCAAATTTAATTTGATAGTTGTATTGGTAATAGTATTTTTTAATTTTAGTAATTTTTCTAGAATTTTTAAAACCTTTATATGCTATAACTTGCGTATCACTTGATATTTAATTGATATATTTAATTGATATGTCATGACCGATGTAGAACAACAGCGACTGCCACCCGTGATGTTGAACCATGCTCACTCTCCTTCCCCAGTGTATTGTGCTATACTCATCATTAGCAGTAGTAGAATATACAAGCAAATTCTTGAAACTTTTCTTTCATCTGAGTTTAATTCATTGGTAATTAAACATTCACGGGACCTTACTTACTTTTACAATTAATATTCATCCTAGAGATGATTTGACTTCTTATACATGCTTGTGTATGTATTGGATGTAGATCAAGGGTTACAAGTTGCTCTAGTTCATAGGATATGTGGTTGCACACAATAAGGAGATTGTTATATGAGCTTGCCGTGGAATTTGGAAGAAACGCAGAAATTAGCCATCTCCTTCTCTAATGGCGGATCTCCAGCTGCTATCTTGAGAACTTGCATGTTCATAAGGGATAAGACTAAATAGCAAACTCCAACAACCATCATGTTCAAATGCATGAAACTCCAACTTACAAACACGTAGCCAATCTTTAAAATTTATACTCCAGTTGGTCTTAGAAACTTTCCACATGGTATATCCTTTTTTTTTTTTTCTTTTCCAGATATCTGTCCATCAATGCAGAAGAAAAGGAGTTCGAACATGTTCAAACTTTCATCTGTAAAAAGCTCAACACCTTCACCATCAGAACCTAACCGATCTTCTTGATAATAAAATTCCACCAAGTGGAATCGCTTGGCAGTCAAAAGTTAGCTTTGGAATAAGAATCATCGATACCGGAGAAGATTAAAAGCAATTATGTAGTCATCACATTCCATAGCATGTTGATGGGTTGCTCAATTGTTTGATTGTTAGCCTGAGCATGTTGCCCATGACAGTGAATTTGCGGCTGATGAGAATGTTGACAAGAATCATCTCCACTTGCCCATGAAGATGGTCGGAAGGTGCCATTGGATGAGGAGGTGGTGGGCAAAATGGGGCGGTGGTGATGGCTGGAGTTGAGAGAGTCAATCGGCGCGGAATGAGAGATAGAAATGCAGCAGCACGTTAGGTTTAGTTGGAGAAGATGATATAATTATTAAAAATTGCAAATTTTGGTCCTCTAGCTTTTCCTTGTTTTGTGTTTAGACCATTGACTTGTAATTCTTATAATACCTAGGCTTTGATATGGTGGTTACTTTTGTGCCGGAAAATTTCTAATAAATTTAAATTTAGGGACTAAAAACACCCAAATAAAATTCAATGAATGATGACCCAAGGCAGTGAGATTCAAAGAAAGAGACATTCAAGGAACAAAGATCAAGACATGGCAGAGGCAGTGAGATTATGCATGATCAAGGCAGCAGGGAAAGGACGTGATAAAATTAATATACGGTTTGAAAACAAGAAGATGATGACCCAAATTCAAACCGGAAAAGGGGATAATATAGAGATAGCTGCTATTATGGAGGATATCCAGAAAATGACCTTATGGTTTCGAATGTGCTCTTTTGTGAGTTTGAACGAAGATACTTATAGTCTTTGCTACAATTTGAGCAAAATTGCTCTTTTGAATTTTTGTGACATGGAGTGAAACTACGCCACTCTATAGTGCTAAATGCACTTTTGTAAAGATAGGAGCCCTTGCTCCAAAATTGTATAGTTTTGTGATGATATAAAATTTCTAATGTTTCGGGAAAAAAAAAAAGAATGAATGATGAAATTGGTTTAAGAAAAAAAGTTGACGGACTAAAATGACCATTTTTCCCAAAAAAAAAAAAAAAAAAGTGCACCTGTAGTTACCAAATTTTTTGAAATCTCGATTTTTTTTTGTTTTGTTTTTGTTTTTGAAGCCTCG